CGTTTTGGCACAGATCCATCAAACTTCAACCAGACGGATACGTGTTGTTTTAGATCTCTCGGTACATGCTTAGGCGGAGGAGAGTAAAAGGCAATCATCGCGGTAGAAGAGAGCCCTACAGGGATGGATAGCTTTTCTGACGGGCTCGGCTTGGCACGAGATGACTGCCAGGATCGCAGCCGGGAGAAGAATCGCATTTTCGAACAGATAGATGTAAGTGTCATGTTTCTTTTCAATTGATACCATTGCTGACTTCATAGTTGAGATGGTGTCGGAATTGATCCGTGGTCGGGATGAGATGGGATGGGATGAGATAGACAGACCAGTGAGGCTCGTTTCTTTGCGCACTGGCTGTTGTTGCTGATTTCAAAGGAGAAGACATGGCGAATTTATGGGCATTGGAGAGCTTCGCTGCACTGCGNTAAGTTATACCCAATTCACTTTGGTTTTACCGCACCACTTACAGGTGGCCAGTGTCCTTATTGCAACCATAGTTCGTTGTATTGTTGTCTCAGTAAGTTCCAAACAATAGTCTTCCGTATTAGCAAACTGCTCACTTGTAGCCAGTCGCAACCGTAGTTCGCTGTTCTGCTGCCTTCGGTAAGTCACGCTACATATGCTTCGATCTTGGCCAATCACTTACTCGTAATCAGTCGCAACCGTGTTGTATGTACGGAAGGATGTTCCTATTGTGGAGTAACTGCTGATATGGTTAGGTGGTTGTCGTACCCAATGGAGTTGTGCCTTATTGTCATATACCCATTGAGAGGTTTACAATGTAAGTTTCCTTGTGGCTCATCGATGGTCATATGCTGAGCAAGCTTGTCGATTTTGGTAGTATTACCAAACCATTCCTGAGGGTTCGAAGCAGGGTCTCGCAGACGTAAGTCTCTCAGACGTAAGTCTCTGAGCCGAAGCTCCGAGGTTTTTATGTAGATGCTAACATAACTTGCAGCCTCACCCGATTTTTTACTTTGACTGTAGTCATTTTTTTGATACCCGATTTCGGCAGGTTGGGGTGTGGCCTGCCATTCTTTTCTGAGATAATTGATCTGATACGCTATATAGCAAACAGAGAAAAAAAGTCAAGTCATAACAACGGCCCCCCACCGTTGCAAAAAAAAATGGTTTCCTCTATGCAAAATTGTATGTGTGATGTTGTTATGGATGGATGCCTACGCACAGCCACGTCGTACCATGGATAGCACACGTTCACTCCCATGGTACATGGCTACAACGCCATTATAGATACTCCTCCTCGCTCAATTTTTGCCAGAAACTATATTACTGACGGCTTTGTTCATATTCACACCGTCCGCTCACATACTTGAACCACTTCAAGCCGGCTACCAGACCGACACGAAACTCTATCGTATATTATCAAGCATGTTCCCCTTTTTCCAATTACCCCGGGAGTTACGAAATCTAATTTACGACTACTATGTCCGCTGCGATGGCGGCTACGTGTACGATGTGGAAACGCGGAAACTTCGGCGAGCTGATGGAGGCCCCGTTTTTAATGCACTAGCCTTGACATACCGACAAGCTGCGTTCGAGCTTGAAGGATTGGCTTTCCAAGTGAACACGATCACATTTTCGGCGGCCTACACGGAGTCATTGCGTGATCAAGCGCTTTTGCATCACTATGTGATTCGTGACTGCAGCGCTTTAAGAAGATATCTGCTCAGCGCGATGCGTTCCATGCTGTTTACGACCGAGATGCTCGGACTGACGAAAGAGACCTACCCCCAATTCGCAGAGCAGGTCGCATCTTGGGGAAAAACCGGGGGAAACATGGGAAACATGGAAAGCATCCACACTCGGGAACTCCGCTCGAGAACTTGGAAACACATTCGTACTCGGGAATTCTGGGCGATAACTTGGCACAATATCTGTCCTTGGAGATCCCGGTCGAGGGACCGGGAAGAGTACCGGCTTTGGCCTAACTTTGAAGACGACAGTGAAGCACGATCTATTTGGAGCGACTTTCAGATGTTCATATTGCAGCTTATGACGAAACATCCAGCCTTCAACGATGCAGTAAAGAGCCTGCGCCCACCCTACAATGTTCCTAGCAGGTATCTAGATCTAGTGCGACATCAAAATTCATACCTCGAACCCTGGCGCATCATCGAAATGGCTGAGCTCAAGCGCCTGGCAGATATTGTAGGAGTTTCCCAAAGGGTATACAAGTGCCATCCACAGACAACATTAAGGTACTCTGCAGCTGCTCTGGCGCTTCAATTCTTCAATTCATGTACCGAGAAGGTCCGCAATTCGGTTCGTAAGATCGTTCTCATCGAAGACGAGATGTCAGTAGGACAATCCCATACTCACGGTCGCGGCTTTATTTCACTCTGCCAGAAAAACAAAAAACTTCACGTCGAACGCCGCGTAAATCTCTGGAAGACCGTATTTGCACCCAGTTCGAGCATCCAACATAGATATCTTCACGAATGGTGGCGGGGAGTTGACTCTATGCAAAACGACCGTCTCCAGGCCTCAGAGGTCTCACAGTTAGTCGGGAATTGGATGGTCGAGGCTTTGGCATTGCCTTCGCTCGGAATGCCTGAGGGCTCATTTACTCTTGTCTTAGATGGAGACCCTATACCCGAACACACCTCTAAAGTCTTCCGCATAGTGCAACGAGACGCCGCTTGGCAAGCTGCTGTTGACCTATGTTATTCTCGAGGTCTAGTATCGAGGCCTTCTTGGGCACAAAGTGGATTCGACTGCCGCTTTATTTTTGAAGGATTTCCCAAAGTAATGGAGACACTTTCCACTACTAGCTGTCTCATTAGATGTAACTTCGACCTTGGTGAACCTTACGACGTCGAAGCTATAATTGAAAACCACCGTGACCTGGATTGTAATGGATGGCATAGCCAATGGTTCAACCATAGTCCGTCCGAATTCCAGACGGAACCACCGCTGCCGCCATGGCACGAGCTTTGGTGGCTACGCGGTTTACCTTTGTAATTAGTTTGCCCGAGCTACCTGGTCAGAGGAACTTTGGTATTCCTTTCTAAGAAACAGAGCCTTTATCGGATTTGGTTTTTATTCGTTTTCGCAGTACAACACAAATATCATCTCATCAGTCTTCCCGTTGTTTTCGATCTCCTCAAAAGAACTGACATCGTGTTGATTCAATGGCGCTCACCCAACACAGCATGGTTCGTCGGGTTTAATCCAATTATGCCAAGGATTTACTGCATCGCCAATACACCAGCAGCCAGATGCTCAGATCCCAGTGTCATGACACGGTGCAAGCCAATCAAGAGATTGATATCTGGGATGAGTTAGCTCCGCTACGACAACTGTGAGCCTAGGTACGAAATCTACTAGTTGTACGGATATTTCCAGAAAAAGCCCGACGTCTTGACGAAGCACAGCTCTTGGTCCAGCCCATGAAAGTGACCTGGGTCTACAGCCGGCTCATGTTAGCACGAAGCGCTGGTATACAAGCACCACGATCTAATTGATTCACACGTTCTGGCAGAGAGTTTCTAAAATGACACTTGCAGTTTCTGTACCTTACGATCTCTATCAAGATAGGTCTCCAGTCATCCCATAAGCTTCAAGCTGTGTATCACGGGCATGATGCGCACATAGAAGTTCAGAGGCATAGCCCATGATACCTTGTTTAGAGAGAGGATAGACTCTCAACAATCTACATAACTTCTTAGTAAGGTCAGTATCTATACTGTAGCAAGATTGGATATCGCTATTTACAGGCCAAGAGGCGACTCGCAATCAAGGGAGATAATAGCCGAAAAACAATAGCTGCAATAAAGTTCGCTGGATATGAACCATCCACGCCGAACAGCAGCACCAAGTTGTACCCGCCACCTGATCATATGCTACTAGGTCACGGTATTTAAAAGTGTCCCCTCTACATATGAGTTGAGAGACTATTTTCGCTCGCACTTTGAAATGCCATATAAACGCTATTAGACTGGTGCGAGGAAGAAGTTAGAAAGTGATCTGGTGTTTTGAAAGAGGAAATGTATATAAAATCCTGTTTATTTTGAGGTGTGGGTGTAGAGTTTGTTCACCACAATCATCTGTAAGTGTGATGCTACAATAATTACGTACGTACCAGTAGAAGTAACACGTGCGTTGCGCCACATCGGCTGCAACAGCTCGAAACGCCAAATCTACGCAAAGCTGTTTCTTCCCAAAACAAAGCGCCAACCACCATACGTCAAACGCACAATGTGGTCTGAGGAATTTCCAGGTTTTGAGCAAGTCAGCACTGACGGCAGCTCTCTCGGCAATGGAAAGAAGAAGGCTGCAGCTGGTGTTGGTGTTTACTTCGGGCCCAACGACCCAAGGTGCGAAAGCATCAGCACATCCCAACACGCTATGCGCACTGCATCATGCCTCACTACTGACTAGACGATTCGTAGAAATTATGGCGAACCCTTGGGCTCGGGTCCCCAAACTAACCAACGCGCTGAGCTCAAAGCTGTCTTGAAAGCCTTGCAAACGATACCCACCACACAGAATCTCCTCATTGAAACAGACTCAACATACACTATCTTGTGTGTGACAGAATGGTATTATAAATGGGAATGGAAAATTTGGAGGAAGGTCAAAGGCGAGCCGCTGAAGAATCTAGAGTTGATCAAACCGAGCGTTCGTCTCTTGGAACAGCGCGAGGCGATAGGCAGCGCAACGTATTTTCGTTGGGTCAAGGGCCATGCAGGCAATCCAGGCAACGAAGCAGCTGACAAGCTGGCTGGAGCAGGAGCAAGGTACGGTTCACGAGTGCTCTACGTCCCACCAGACCCAGCTCTCAACACATGTGACATAGGCGCGAATACGTACGACTTTACGGCGAACCCGAGGAGGAGGAGAGGGGGCCGCGATGTACCTTGCGTGAGGCTCCGTTCGGTTGGAAGGTGGTGCGACACCCAGATGGAACCGAGACCCTCGAGCCGAATCCACAAGACGCGAACAATTACGAGAAAAGGCAGAAGGCGGCGAAAAAAAGAGAAGCAGAGCGGATAAAGGTTTCCAAATCTAAACGTAGAAGAGGAGGAAGCGCAGCGCAGCGTATGGCTATTAAAACCGTCAGAGCAGCAGAAGCGGCCAAAGCGGCCGAAGCAGCGGATGCATTCCTCGCGGAAATGGACCCAGATCCGACTTCAGACGTTGCGGCACAAAGTGCATAGTTGGTAAGGGATTCGATCACATGTTCATGATTGACAGCAGAAGCCAACATCTTCGAAGTCAACAAACCAAGAAGCGCTAAACGTCTTCTCACCCACACATCACCCTTCTCCAGCCACCGATGCATTCGTATCAAGGTACCAGAACCTGGCTCTGGTCTCCATATCGCTGCGGTTACAGCTTCACCCGCAAGGATGTGCTAGCGCGCGATCCGGCACCACAGCTTCAGGGTGATGGTAGTACATTCGTAGCATATCCTCAATCCAGACCCAGGAGTCGGACTCGGCATATTGGCGTGATGATAGAAGAACTCGAATAGAACATAGAATGGGATATATCCCTATTGGCACGTACATGACGGCCTCTTCCTTTTTGCTCACGGGCTCGCCTTTCAGCGCCTTGAATTTCATATGCAGAACCCATGCTTAGCTAGAATAACCAAGAAGGTTCGATATCAGTAGTCTTCAAATGTCACTTTTTTGCTGCTAGTAGTATGAATAACATCATGGCCGATCCAATTGATAAGGCGGGTGATATAACATAAAAGCAACCAATACATTCAAACAAAAAAGGGAATCACATTGCTGTTCTTGATGTAATCTATCCCATAGTTCTATGCCTCTAACAAGCTCTTGACTTCCTTAACCAGCAGCCGATCCTCAGCATCCTTTGCCTGGACATTACCCATGGTACCTGCCGCATCCATGACTCTCCACAAATCTCTCAGCTCGCCATTCATATCAGCGCCATATACTAACCACCCAACACTAATCACGCTCATCTTCTTATTGTCGTTCCACTCCTCCTCGGTACTTATGTTTTCGAGCAGCGAAGCGAGAAGCTCGACCTGCTCGGACTCCTCAAGTTCCGTCTCCCCGGGCAGGGAGTGTGAGGGGTTGGCGCTATACTTCTTCATCCGCACCTGGTGGTTGGAAGAAGTGATATTCATTGCTAGATTAAGGGCCGAGGCTTTGAGTGCGGGATATTTCTCATCGAGAAGAGCGGTCGTCAAGATGGAAATGAGATTTGATGAAAGCGGCTGTGAGAGAAGGTGCGGTACGAAGAGTTGTGAACTGAAGAGGTTGCACGCTAGGTGCAGTGTGGTGAGCCGGAGGGAATATGGTGCGCTATCACCCAGTTTGTCAACATGGTCGAGTAGATGGTGTACTGTCGCTGGTGTACCCGTTGCGCCTCTATGCTCCTCTGCGAAAAAGCCGGCGACACGAGCGTCGGTGAGCGCTATCCTAAGCAGGTCCAGCGCAGTAAATAGGAGCTCAGTCGGAAGCACAGAGGTGATTTTTCTCAAGAAATCCGCAAACTTTGGGAGTTCGGTCAAGGGTGCTTCAATCGCTCCGGACTTCTCACGGGCTTGGATAAAAGCGACAATAGATGACACGGCAGGATCGTTTCCAGCATCTCCCATCTTCGCAACCAACTTCTCCAATGGCGGTACCTTTGTGAATCTGATAGGTCTTTGGTTCTGTCGCATGAGCAAAGGTGTGCTCTTGTCCAGATGTGGGTGAGGCGGAAATGCTGAATTGAGCAACATCTCTACATTGCTACGCAGCTGCCTTGGATCGGCTCCACTCCACTCATCTCGCTGTTCTCCCTTCAGATATGTAATAAATGTTGGAGTCGCGCGTACGTTAGGATATCGGGTACTAATCGAGCTGTCGGCGTGGCTAAAATCGATCTTGATGAACACACACTTCATCCCTGCTTCCGCTGCGAGTTGGTCGTATGGCTGATACATAATCTTGCAAGGAGCGCATGTAGAGCTAGTGAAGAAGATGATGGCGCAGCGATCCTTGGCGAGGCCAAGTAAGCGATCTACGTCCCTAATTGATGTAACATTATTGACTTTGCCCGTGTTCATTTCTAGTTCAGTCATGCTGCCGGAAGAAGCTCCGTTTGCTATTCCATTCGACGCACTCGCACTTGATGGTTGTACTTGACCCGCATGGGGCGTAGGTGCCTGTACAATTGGTCGCATGGCGGCATCAATCTGCGGTTTGAGCATTTGCCCAAAGGGCGTGTTGAGAACGGTTTGTGGGAGAGAGGTGATATGATCCGGTATTCCCTTGCCAACAAGGAACATTGCAAAATCGTTTGAGAAGTTGTTGCAGTTATGTGCGAATAGATCGTATGACTGGAAAACATCAGCACTTGCTCATGGCATGGTGTTTGGAGTTTACTTACTTCGGGTGTGTATATCTTTTTCAGAGATTCTAGGTACTCTAGAATCACCTCCATTGGAAGCGCAGTCTGTCCCAGCTTAATAACCTCCATCGGCCGGCCGTGGTGAGTCGCTCCCGCTCTACATGTCTGCACTCCTTGTCCGAAGTAGTATTCTATGCCGCCAAAGACGATAGACGTGTGGTATACAGCATCAATTTGTATTCCAAGAAACTGGCGAGACATGCTCTTCGCCAGACCCTAGATCCGTTAGTACCGTTGCTCTCTGAAAGGCGTCTATGAGAGCGCTCTCCATTGGAGACTTACTTGAGATAGGTCGTACACGTAGAGTTCCACGTCCATGATAGAAATCACACGTAGCCAACTCTATCCGTCGCACAATACTACTCTGTTGTTTAGGAAGTTTCTTTGATTTCACAGTATGGTACAAGATCAGCGCAAGCCTAGAATCTTTAAGCTTTACGCGTTGGTGTGTCGATGTTGTGGGCCTTGTAGGCGGAAGCGGTGACGTAAAAGAACATTCCCGAAAGTCCCACGCGGGCGATCGCTACGCGCACCGCCACATCTCTTATCGCCACATCGCGCTAGCACCTGACCGTGCTGTCGGC